ATGCGTCTACAAACAATCGTTGATAACATTTCAACACAGCTAATAGAAATTGGCCTTCTAAAAGGATTCAAACCAGTCTATCGAGCACCATGGGGAATCGGTATAGCACCTGCTGCTATCAGCAGCAAAGCAATACTTTCGCAAATTTTAGATCAAATAGGACTTATACCTGCACATTGGACTATTGATTCAAAGGATTATCTTATACAGGTTGATGAATATAATTTAACTAATAACATCCTTAAAATGATCTGTAGAACAAAAGGTGGTCTTATTTTGATGCATGATAATCGACCAACCACAGCTAATTTCCTTGATGTAATTATTCGTTCGATTAGAGCCAGTGGGCACAGTATTGTACGTCCCAGTGAAATCAATAGACAGTGGAATAATGAAACTTTAATCAACAGAACGAGAAGATATACCGAATTTCTCAGACATAGAATAGAAACAATACAAAGTTCACCAGCAAAACGTCAGGCTAATACGCTTTTTCGACCAGTAGAAATTTCCTTGCCAACCGGAAAGCGTCAAAATAATATTCTACAGAGCATTGATGCAAATGCAAGATACAAAGGTATCATTAAAGTATTACCTAACATAAATGATTTCGAATTAAATGCAAACAATACGAAACTGCTTATCAAAACTGCTTCAAAATTAAAGTGATCGCATTTCATCGTACTGAAATAATGTCAAAATTCCTAGTTGAATAGATGTGACTTCTAAATTCGAGCAATTCATGCGTTTCTTTGTCCACAACTTGCTGTTTTCCTACTTCTTGTAAAAGTATTTTCTTTCTTATATTGTGCAGACCTTTTGTTTTTTATTGCATTTTTCTTCACTCACATCTATGTAATTAAATCACTGCTAGAATAATGGCAGTACTATCTGGCAAGTTGCGAAAAATAAAAAATACAAGCTTTTACATTCTATAATCAATTTGAATAATATTGAAGAAAACTTTCAAATCGTTATAGGGTATATTTGTATGGGTATATATAGGTTTCAATTCGGATCCACATAGTCTTTTACGCTTGCACAACATATTTACTAGAACAATTACAATCACGGTAACAATTAAACAAACAAACATCAAGAACATGCCAGGTACTTTTCTGTTTTTCCCATAAAAGATGTTTTGTTAAAAACAATTGAAATCAATATACATGAGAGCATTGCCACCATCTTCCGATCGTACTGAAACTCAGGTCAATGATTTCGGAGAATGGATACTGTGGATACTGGCAGAAAAATGCGGGGAAAACCACCGTATCCTGCAGGAAAACACTGGAAATCGGAAGCAGTATTCCGGTAGGAAATTTTCGGTTGTTTTCCCGTGATTATCCACTAGGTTCCTGCCTGAAAGCACAGGAAATCGCTGGGAATTCACAGGAAAAATTCCAAAAATTTCCGACCGGAATACTGCTTCCACGTTCCGGTGAGTCCAGGTGTTTTTCTGTCGTTTCCCGCCGTACGAGTTCGACCTGGGAACGTATCAAATTTAAATACCACATTTGTTAATGTGTTAAGTACAAAGTGTTATTTTATAAAATTGAAAAAAATGTCATGTCACCAAATGCAAGAGCAAGAAATTTTAAAATGTTTTCATAACTTCTAAAATATGTCCTATCCTATGGTAGTTAAAGATGCGGTGGTGATTGAAATATTGTTGAAAGATTTGTTTAATACTATCAACGTCAATATTAAGTCTCTTAAATCCTTATCACAACTTCAGCATTAATCTTATAGAGAACTTTCATTTTTTTTAGTTTCGTTGCACCATCTACCACACTACACAAGATAGAAAAAAAAACAATTGATAATCCAGTCTTTCATTAATCATTGCAAGGCATTCATATTTCGATAGAGCACAATTTGCCCTACAATATTCATTAAGCAGTTTTATTCGTGCATTTCATTTCAAAGTCAATGGCTGTTGAAAACATCTATAAGTGTTATGAGGCATAATTAATAGAGATTTTCAAAAGGAAGAAAAAAATAGGTGAAAATATACCGGGTGTTCCAAAAGTTCCTTTATATAAAAAATTTAATATCTCCATCGATCTTTCATCAAATGAGCTCAATTTTTTCCCGGTGGTGGAGGCTACTTTGAAGTTTTTTTCATTGGAAAACTATGAATAGACACTGCTTTGAACTATCGCTTTTGACTTGAATATCGAAATGTACCGATTTTCGATTTTCCAACAAGAACATTCAAAGGAGATTTCCCGAGATTATTAATTTCGGCCTGAAACATTGACCAAAGCGAGGTCTCACTCAGACTAGCTTCTGTACAAAATTTCAGAATTTTCGGATATGGCCTTTCCGATATATGAATTTTTCAAAATTTAGGCGCTGTTCTGTCGATATTGTGCAAAATTTGAAAAATTCATATTTCAGCCAAAACTGCACAAGAGCATGAACCTTTGGGAAGTTATTATTGTCCAGTGGTCCTCTATCAATGGGGAAAATATGGTCGCAAAAGCATCTAATCACTCAAAAGCTTTTAATGATCTCAGGGATTCTCCCTCGAAAGCATTTTTTTAGAAATCGAAAATGGATACATTTCGATATTCAAGTTAAAAGCGATAGTTCAAAGCAGTATCTATTCATAATTTTCCAATGAAAAAAAAAACTTCAAAGTATCCTCCACCACAAGGAAAAAAATGAGCTCATTTGATGAAAGAGCGGTGGAGATATTAAATTTTCTTATTCAAAGGAACTTTTGGAACACCCGGTATACTCGTTACTTCTATCACCTACAATAAACAGATGAAGATTTTAATGTTTTTTTCTCACACAAATACCCTATTCAAGAGCTTGAATTCACTTTAGTGTATTTACAATTCGCAACTTTTCCATCCACTGGGAAGCTTTTATCAAATTCGGTTATGAAAAAAATGTATCAATTTCTCATCTGGTAATACGAAAAAATATAAGTTTTTCAACAATATTGATAGCTATATCCAAGGGGGAAACGGCGGATTGCGTATTTCTGGGATTTCCAGTATTTTTTTCGTATTTTTCGTATCTTGTGGATTGCCACAAGATTTCCAGTAGATTTTGGGATTTTTTTTGTATTTCTGGGATTTCCATGGGATTTATGGGATTTTTATGGGATTTCTGGGATTTTTATGGGATTTCTGGGATTTTTATGGGATTTTTGGGATTTTTATGGGATTTCTGGGATTTTTATAGTATTTCAGGGATTTTTTTCTACTTTAAAGGTTTTGCACAGAAGGTTATAAAGAAAGACAGCAGGTTAAACAATAGTAAAAATAAAATCTGTTGCCGTCAGTTAGCGAGACACGTCACTTGTTATGATGGGTATCAAGCCAACTGGGACTTCAGAGAATGTTAGTTCATCGTATTTTATTGGAAAAAAAATAGCAAAAATCAGAAAAATGAAGAAAAAAAAGGAACAAAAACTATTTAACTACCTATACAATTTATTATACTACTTCGTCAAGTATTTACTAATTTCCCTGTTGCACTCGTTTAACTCGATCAGCTGATAGAGACGCTTTCTCATCGGTTAAAAGCCAACAAGCAGTCTGTTTATGAATGAACTTTTTTTTCCCGTCAATTTCAACACAAAAATAAGATTTCGATTGAGAAGGGATATTATCGTATACTCTCATTCCATGAAAATGAGTCTTTTCACTAGCTGAAACAGAGGATAGATTATCTTCATCATCAGATGTATCTTCTTCCTCTACATTCGCAGATGGATCAATTTTATATTTATAATCATGTTCATCATCAGATGAATACGTTTCAATATCATCACATGAGACTTTTTTAAACTTTTTGGTGAACTGTGTTCGCACAAACGAGCTCACTTGAGAAATCGTATTTTTCTTTTTTCGTAGAGCACTATTGATATCAACTGTAGAAAGAAGATTATATGCATCATCAAATGCTCGATAAATAGCTTTTTGAATGTTGTCAATCGTAAGATGATTCATAGATGAACCAGCAATTTGTTTTTTCAAAATAGTTCGTTTCCGTTGTCGTTTATGATGTTTAGGAAACTTAAGTGGACATTTTAACTGACCAGACTCACTCTGGTTTTCTATTTCGGTTAGAACCGAAAGTTTACCCGCTCGCTTTAGGAATTGTTCAATAGTAAAATTCACTATTGATGAAAAGGCACCTGACATCGATCTGGTAAGTCGAAATGTAGATTCACATGATTGTGAATGGTAATTCGATATAGAAAGAGCAGACTCAGGTAGCTGTTTTTGTGCTACGAGAAGGCATATTCCTAATAAATTGTGAGCATTGAGTTCGACTGAGAAATGTGCTGGAGTAGTGATGAACATATCACTTATCCGTTCATCAAATTATAAAAATTGTCATCATAAAAAGAGAGAGCACCAGGTGGTAAAATGGATGTATCAAGAGCCTGCAAAGGCATTGATTGACACGAATGTTAAACAAAGAAGATATATAGAAAGTATATAATATTATGTATTTTAGAATTCGAAATTTTCTTGATGAGTTTGATGAGAAATAAATTGTTGTTCTGATTAGTTTATAATGAGGAAGTTATTGAACGATATATCGATAAGTATTTGCAATTCTGACAAGTTCTCTATTGCACATACATTTTGTAAATTCTTTTGCAATTTATTCCTTATTATAATTCAGATCTAGTACTTTTGTATTAAAGGTAACAGATCAACCAGATAGTCACATATACAATTCTTAAATCTTTTGTCTTTATACATGTTGTCATAAGGTATTTTAAATTCTAGCTTAGACAATATGTAAGATTTTTATGCTTTACACATACTGTATTTAACAAAAGCAATATTTGGTAGTGAGATATACAAAAATATGACTACATCGATATCGAACAAACAATATATTCGTCGCATCTGCCTGACTGAAAATAATGGATTTCATGGATTTCTCGGATTTTTTTCGTATTTCAGGGATTTTTTACGTATTTTATGTATTTTTCGTATTTCATATGGATTTCACGGGATTGGCAATCCCAAAAGTCCGCCGTTTCCCCCTTGGCTATATCCTAAATACTGTTTAAACTATTATCATTCACAATATTTCTCAATGAAACCACTAAACACTTCAGCATACTGACATATTTTAAACAAAAAGGTTTTTATACGTTTTCTCTAGTAAAATTTCCTATTGACAGATCCGATAAGTATTATCTTATTTTTGAACAAAATATGATCTCACTACACTGAAAAAAATAAAACTTCTATTTGATTAGTATCTAACTGACCGAAATATGTGAGTTCCACATTTTAGCCCCAACGAGGCTGCGCTGAAAAGCTTTTTTTTACATACGTAGATCCAAATCAGAATGCGTTCTTCAGAATCTTCGCATTCTAGTAGATATTGTGTAATTACTTATCAGTTTTGTTTCAATTTTCTTTCAATCTGCTGGAATGTTTTGCAAGATGTTATATATGCATGATTTCACACGGGTGTGAGCGTGATTTCAGAGAAGAACTACACACACACTCCAATAAATCCATGAATTCAAATGATTAACGAATAGGTGCTTAAAGGTCGACAGGGAAAAGATCAAAAGACAAAACGTCGAAAAACAAGATGTAGAAAAGCTCATTGCAGAAACAAAAAATGTCGAAAGATAATAATACAGAAAGACAGATTATCGAATCAACAAAAAACATTTAAAACAAGCAGGATAGGATAAATATTAATAATGCCATTGAAAATATATTCTATCAGCTTAAGATAAAAAAAATTATCTCCTAATTAGCTTGCTTGTCTGTCTACCAATTTGAATGTTTCGTTAAGAGGATCTAACAATAATGATTAATTAATACACTGTGTGTATACATAGTAGCTTATATTCATTGTTATACATATCATTTCAATCGTGCCTTATTTTGTTCTGAATATTTCCATGAGTAATACGCCTACAATAACATTCTCACAATGCAATAAAGGCAAGCGTGTACTTGTCTGTGATGGTTATGTGTATCATTTAAACAAGTTATGTTCGAAGGCCAAGTACTGGCGTTGTGGAAACCGTCTCTGTGCTGCTGTTATTCATACTGATATCAACGACGAATTCAAAGTACGCAAAGGTGATCACTCAAATCATCTATCTTCGCCGGCATACATCGAAATTCTTAGCTTTAAATCTAATATAAAACAATGCGTAGTTACTGAAGCTACACCAATTGGGCGTATTTACGATGAGGAATTAGTCAAAGCTCAATTGAGTCAAACTGCTCTAAGTGTAGTCGCATCAACTCAAGATGCTAGTAAGTATCTTTTGTTTGTCATCATTGATTTGATCGGGCATATTTTAGAGTCATCATTAAATCGAATTCATCGACTTGAAACTCCTCGTCTACCAATAACATGTCGTTTTGATATTCCTACTCTTTATAATCTTACAATCAACGTAGAACGATTTCTACTTTACGACAAAATGAGACGAAATAAAAGAAATCTTATTTTTGCTACAGGTGATCAACTACGTGTCCTTTTTAAAGCTAAACAGATATTAATGGATGGCACGTTCTCGTTATACCCACATTTTTTGAACAATTTTACACGCTTCATGCAATTAAGTTCGAACAGAGTGAGTAAATGATACCGTGCATTTCTTTAAAATTCTAATCAATTACGTGAAGGTTTTCCATCCGCGTTCGTTCTTCTCGCGGGTCGCTCTGGTTCTATCTATAAGGAAATGCTTCAACAACTCGAAGAAGAGCCCGAGTGCGTTCAAATGAACTTTGTGCCTAATTAAATGACCACTGACTTTGAAAAGACACTTGCAAAACCATTAAGAAAACAGGCAGGCAATTTCTTTAAGATATTATTAGCTCATTATATAGTTTCTAGTTTTCTGAAGTTCGTCACACCGACTGTTTTTTTCCCGTTTGCCAAGCCATTTACACAATATTTGAGAACTTGGCTTAAGTGACATATACAAAGATGATGCAAATGTTCGTAATTTTTGTCGTCGCCTGATGGCTTTACCCTTTCTACCACTATATGAAGTAGACTTTGCATTTGAAGAGCTTGCTGAACAACGTCCAAACGTTCTTGCACCACTTTTCATCTATTTCGATAATTACTGAATGAAACAAATATCTTTGATTTTATGGAATGTTTCTGGCTTAAAAACATGGACTAACAACAACTTCGAAGCTGAGATCTCTCTTTTGTCTGCTTTTAATGATTCTATTCAATTCGAATTTAGATTGGCACAATCGCTTCCATGGTCATGTCGATAAGATGCACCTTAACATGTGGCATTTTACCGATATTCTCAAGAGAGAAGAAGTTCATTTTCAACAAAAGCTTCTCCATGCGAAGAGTGGCTTCTTCAAGACACAATCGAAAAGGACCAACATTGTTAAAGAACGTCTCAAAGTCTTAGCCAATCATTTTTCAAATAATGAAATTGATGTGAACGAACACCTCTAAGGTCTTTCAATGATTGTAGCAAAGGATAAAACAAGAAAAAGGCTTAACAACTGAACTGATTAATTTTCTCTAAATTATAATATTATTCGACTGTTTTTTTTGCTTTGAATATTCTTATTCTTAATATGAATTTTTGTTCTTTTAATTTATCATTTATGTAGTATTTGTTTCCTTCATTTTCTGGATAATTTGTAACTTATTATCTTTCGGTAAAATACTTATGAATTAATAGATGATTCGAATTTTAATATTATTGTTTTCGACCTTTCACTTTCGATTTTTTCGTACTTTGCCCGATTAACAACAATCGAAGAAAGTGTATTTAGAACTAAGAGTTCACTCAGTTTTTTAAGAGGATGTGAACATCCATACACCACACCCACGCACCCAAGATGAAATAGTATACTTCATACTCATACGTACATTCTCATTATTCGTACGTATCAAAGAAAGGAACGCAATAAATCGAGATTAAGAAGTATTACGTTTTAATAAATCAAGGAAACAGAAACGAAAAAAACATATTGTCTGCTTTATTTGCCGTTCTTTTCTTCGTTAAGTTTCAAGGGCTTTATCACCGATTTCTTCAATTTGGTCTTGTGATACATAATGTAATGCCATTCGATTCGTCAATGAATTCAATTGGCTAGTACCATTACCGATTATTGCTTCACCATTGTTAACCATCTTCTCGTCCGTTAATAATACATTATTATTATTGAAATCATGTTCTTTTATGTTTTGCTTCGATAACTTTTCGCTAATTAAGTTTATGATATTTTTGTTGAGTTTACGGAGAATCATTATATCCCATATTATGTACAAAGGAAATCCTAACACTATGCATGCAGCAAACCAACATTTACCATAGAATTGCTGTTTTCCATCTACTTTTGGATCGATCGTATAATGATTATTTCTCCACAATATACCAAAATCATTGTTACGCACCCCTAACTCAATCATCACATTCTTTACCGATCTAGCCGTAAAATGTCGAATATAGAATGGTTGCGAAGGAACATAATGATGTACAATATGTGTTGCACCGAAATTAAAACAAAATAATTGAAAAGGAAGCATATACCATGAGTCTAATATTTGATTTTGATAGTATACAGTATTCAAAGGTATATCACCAAAATAATGAGAAGAATTCGACATTAATACTAAGCAGGCTTGCCTTAACAAATTTGGAAAACATAAACAAACTGCTAAAGTACGAATAGTTGGATAAAATGTATCAATACCATATATTGTATTCATATCATAATTGAAACAAAAATATATGAAGTACAATAAATTATAACCAAGAAAACAAAGATTAATAAAAAGAAATATTAACATCATCGGTGCATTATGAGCTTGTAGAGTAAATAAATTTAAAAATTTTGCATCTTTTTTAATATCATCAGTGACCAAAACACCACCAAAAGGATGCATACTAACAACCATTCTTTTGTAATTCGGTGATAAACCTAATCCAATTAATCTTTCTTCGGCATCATTTATTTGACCTGATAAAAGATGATGTTTTAAATGTAACTGGCGACGATACCAAGGTGAAATATGTAATTTAGCGATCCAAATAAAGAGGAACATGAAATTTTGAATCGATTTATATTTTTTAAAATACAAGTTATGAATAATATCATGTTCTAATTCATGTAAAAAGGATATTACCAATGCTATTGAAATAATAGTCGGTATTGCAGAAATGTAATTTGATAAATAAAGATATGAAAATAAAGACATTAATAATATTGAACTAGTAAATATTATTGTGCAAATCCAATCTTGATGGTATAAGAAAGGATATTCTTGCCTTATTGCAGCATCACTTTGTTTGATAGCCCGAGCAATCTCACGGCCCGCTACTACGGCATGAGTGTTACGAGTTTGAGTGGAAAAAATAGCTGCCATTTTTAAAATGTTTCCTATTTTTTTTGTGATTTATCTGAAAACTATAAACCAACAGTAAGAACTTTCTAAGATGAGGAGAGAATTACAACTTATGAACTAACTTATTTACTTTTCGAATACCAACGATGCTCTCGAGATTTCTACTTGGCTCAAGATTCACGTGGATAAGTTAAGATTACATCCACATCCACACTCACATCATTTTTCAACATTTGAGTGATCATACCATACAAAATAGTCTGATGATACAAATTAAAATACGCTAATATTGATTCTTCACCTGTTGATGATATCAGGTTGAGACCTTTTAGGATGGTAAGTGCATAACTAAATATATCACATGTTGCTTATGCTGCATTGTAACTCAAAGTCTGGATTTGATTCCTTCTACTAGTTAAAATTCAAATCAAGCATGATTTTTGAACGACACGATGAAAGCATCCACTTAAGACTTAATTTTGTTGAAGGTACTGCGTTACAGTATATTACTCACAAACGTTTAAATTGTTAGTCAAAGCCTTAATAACGTATCTATCCACTATCGAGCATTAAACCTAATCTCTGGCTTGCAACCGAGCCCGAACATCACAGTTCGATGCATACTTAGTTAAAAGATTACTTTCTAATCTTATCATAAAACGAACTAAGCAGTAGTTGACTAGGAAACTTTGTTTTGTGACTCTGTTTTCTTTACAAAATAACTAAAGTCTATCTGACATTTCACCACGGAAAAGTAAATTTTGACGTTATGATAAATGCTTTAGGGCCATTTTTACTATGTTTCAAGGATTTTTCTATAATTCATAACGATGGGTCATTTATGTAGCATAATTTTTCATGACTCAAAAATAGCTCGAAATTGAGTCAGAAATTTAGTTTTACTCTGGTT